GAGGTACGTTGAGATTAGGGTTTCGCTTTATAAGAAGGACTTCCGGGCAGTCCCTAAAAGCCTGGCCAGGAACTGTCTTGGTGTCCGTGGCACACGATCGGGCCCCCAGACTCACTGAGATATGAGATCGGATGGATGATGTGGGTCTTCCCGCGCGTGCATGAGCATTACGCTCACCACGGCTCCACCAGGATGGTTCCTGCTCGCGTGCGCGAAGAGAATAGAATAGCTATGAAATCATTTTCATTCAATCACGATTTATTTGAAAGACAAAGAGAACAAAAAAGAAAAGAAAATTCATCATCGTATTGAGTTTCATTCGATATTAAATTTTTGTACTCGATGATTTCCCCAATCGACGACATAGAGATTACCATGCCGATCGAATGATAAACCTACGGGACAATAGAGTTGATTCGACTGTGCTCCTTCACCGTTTCCACCAATAATGACACTTCCTTGTGTGGCTCCTTTTGACCAACGCATGATTCGATGATTCCCCCACTCAGCCACATAGACAGTACCCAATTGATCGACAACGACTCCTTCAGGATCATTCAATTGTGTAAGACTATTTCCTTGTCCTTGACCACTGGCTACAACAATGCCTTGTTTTGCACCTTCTTCCCATTTCATTACACGATGATTGTCAAGATCAGACACATAAACTGAATGATCTCGATCGACAAATACGTAGTGGGGATTAGAGAGTTGATCGAGACGATTTCCTTTTCCATTACCACCTGCAACTACTGTTCCTTTAGTGTCACCAATTTTATATCGTCTCACTTCATGTATTACAATGTCAACGACATAGAGAAATCCATTGTCGTCCATTGTCAAACCGAAGCAAGAGATATTTGAAATAATTGTTTCTCCACGAATACCATTGCCACGAGGCCAACGAACTACTCTGTTATTCCATCTATCGCTGATGATGAGACTATCGCTCTCTTTGTCGATAATCACATCACATGGGCGATTTAATTGATGAGCTCCATTTCCACCAGCAACTACTTTTCCATTCGTTGCACCAGATTTCCATTCCACAATACGATGATTCCAATGATCAGCGATATAAATCGTTTGATCATCGTCGACGTACAAACCCCATGGACAATAGAGTTGATTGGTTTTACTGCCTTCTCCATTTCCTCCAGCAACAGTGATACCATTCTGTGACCATTTTGCATTCGGATGAATATCAATGGAAGTTGCACGTAGTGTTGGTACTGAAATGAAACAAAAGTATGAAGTAAAAATAAACATCAATGTCATTGAAATGAGTCCTTCTCATTTGTTTTAAACAGTATTGAACTGCTCTCAATTACAAAAGTTTTTTACTTATGAACTTGATTAGAATCTGGTTTTTCTCAATGTTGAAAAAAAAAATATTGTTGATTTTTTTCAAATATTTTGTGTAAGAATCGGTAGTTTTACTAAAACTAACTAAAATTTAACTGGTAATGTGAAAAATTGCGATGAACTTGGATTTTGATCGTAAATGAAATTTTCTTTGATATCGAATTTTTTCAACATATTCACTGATTTCGTTAGTTCGAGTTTGAAATATATTTAAAAATTATTTTATTTTTTATTGTTTGGATTTTACAATAAAATGAGTTATAATTGAATTTGAACGTAAGGAAAAACAATTTTGTTATCAGTTGATAGGAAACGGTGTATGATTTATGTTCGTCACACATTTCTGAGTGAAATGAGACAAAATAAATTTGCAACTTTTATACGAACTCGTTAAAAACATCTTGCTACACAATAACAATAGTTAATCATACTTAACTACCATGCATAAGACGTTTTTAGACTGACTCATATAAAAAAATTACAAATTTTTTGTGTAAGTATTTTTCTTTCTTATTCCATTTACGAATGTGTGACATATATAAATCATACATCATTCGAAAGTATTTTATGCCATGAATTTTGCATTATACTTATTATTGAGTAATTTATTCCTGAATCTCAAACAAACAAGTAGTTTGTAGAAAGGCTAATCGAAGTGCTAAATAAGATAAGTTTAGATAAAAAAATACGTAAGTTCAAATTTTAGTAGATGAAAAGAACTCAAAAACAAATCTTTCCCAAGTTCAAGAATATTTGAAGAATCTGTCATGTTCATTATTCTGCATTGTAGCACAAACAATAATCTATAATACGAATCAATCAAATCTTTTATTTTGAATTCATTTCTAATGTATTACAAATTTTCAACTTAATTGGGTGTGGGTGTATGGGACACGGTTTTTTAAACAATAGCAGTTTCGGTCACGGATCGATTTCGATCTTTCTACAATTAAATATTTTCGCTTCTTTACAAGACAATACGAATCTCCCATCGAAACCTTGATCTAAAATCTTTGCAAATTTTTGTTTTGTAGGTTATTCAATAGGTGTAAATTTTTGAGGATTCTCACAAAAAAAACGATCGTAAAAGTTTTCATCATGATTTTAGATATTCTCAATAGCAATAAGTGTGAAGATTTCTTCCCTTCAAATTTTTATTGTATCGCATTCTGCACTGGTTAAATCTTAGAAGAAAGTTTTGTTTTGTTTGTCTAGAATTTTCTAAAGATTTATATTGATACTGCGTTGAGCTTTAGACTAGAAACAATACTTCCATGATTATATCTTGAATGGACAGTTACAGAACCGATGAAGTTAATAAAAAATGTCATACAGTTTTATAAAATTCTCTAAAAATAATTTAAATAATTTCATCCTTCTTAATTTATCTATGAAGAATCTAGCTATAATCGAGATCTTGATTAAATTTAATACTATTTAATCAATTTTCATTTTTATTATGTGATGTTATGTATTTTTAATATGTTTAATGTCTCAGTGCAATTGGAAGAAAATACATTTTAGTATTATTTATTGTCTTCCATCGACAAAAAAAATATGTGTAAAACGGTATGAGAACTATAATTATGTGTCAAACAACTCGAAGATGAGAGTGAGAATCAAAACAACACTTTCTGCTTTTTAAATCAAAGAGATTGTGAGACATAAAACTCTAGTAGGTAATTTTGTATTCTACTTATAGATGATGGCATAGAGCTATGTGAAATGCTTATTAATACTATAGATTTATTTCAATTAAATCAAACTTCTCAAATATTTCTTATACATATGGACATGATTAGTCTGATCGGCTATCTTGCTTCGGTTTTTTTGCACATAAACTTCAGTCTTATTTTAGAACAAGTACAGTCAACATTTGCTCTATATTTGATATTATATAAAATCCTATTCATTATTTTTCATTTTTCTATACTGTAGTATGGAAATTTCCATTTTTATTTCTTGTTTTTCTATTTTGGCAATATAGAGAATCCCATTTTTACCTCTCATTTTTCTATATTAATAATGTAGAAAGCCATATTTGTTAATTCTTATTTTCTATATTGATAATATAAATAATGATTAGTTTTAATTTTAATTTTTCTATGTTGGTAATATAGATAACAGTTGGTTTTATTTCTTATTTTTCTATATCAATAATATACGAAACTAAATTTTCATTTCTTGTTTTTCGAAATTGGTAGTTTAGAAAATCTTATTTATTGTTTTTCATTTTTTAGATTGATAATATAGAAAATCTGAATTTTAATTTTTGATTTTTCTATAGCAATAATAGAGAAAATCTTAATTGTCATTTTTTATTCTTCTATATTGATAATATAGAAAAACCTATTTTTATTTCTCATTTTTTTATATTAATAATATAGAAAATCCTATTTATATTTCTTATTTTTCTGTATTGATAATAATAGAAAAATAAAAAATACAATTTTCTATGTCAACAATATACAAAAAATAGAGAATAAAACAAACTGTTATCTTTATTACCAATGTAGAAAAATAAGATTCTCCATATCACGAATGCAAAAAAAAATAATAAACGAAAATCAGCATTTTCTATATTATTACTATAGACAAATAGGACAAAAATAACTGTTTCTATATCATCAATATAGAAAAATAAAAACTAAATAGAATTTACTATTTTGTCACCACAGAAAAATAAGAAATAGAAGTAACCGTTTTGTATACTATTAGTATAGAAAAAGAAGAAAAAAATTAGGTACACTGCTTGATCCTGTTTTTCAGATACTGTTCTTCATAGAAAAGCTGATGGAGTCAACTATTCTCAAACAAGTGAAAGAACAGAACACACCATACACAAACAGATAATAACAGGCAAGATCTACATTATGTACCGTGTATGTTTCTTTGTTTTAGATCTTGTATGATCTGTTAAGGTCTGACAAGAAGCATTCAGTGTGTCCTTATAAGTGTTTTATCTTTGAATCTTGTATGATTAACTAATGTTACTGAGAAACAGGACGAAACTATTCATTTTTTTTAAATCGAATTGATGAAACTGAACAAATAAACATTGTAGAACTTTGTGAACTATGTGAAAATAATAACAATTCAATCGCAACTTAACATAGTTGGAAGTTTTTAGCTTTATGTAAGAAGATGGTGAAATTCAATCGTGTAAGCTGATCAGCTGGTTAACTGAACATGTAAAGATTAATATTACAATAGATATGTTCATTTCTGTTCTGTTTTTTTAGAATAGTCTGCAATTATCCTGATCTGAATTCTTATAAATAGAATAAGATACCAAAAAAGAGCTCTAATGTAAAAGTACATATTGCAAATAAGAATTGACTTATTAAGGAATAGAATTCTTTTCGATGTATGAGATGATTTTACAGTATGCTAGAAGCGATAGTTCTATTCATGAATCTCAAACGAAGATGACTTCT